AAAAAAAAAAAAAAAAAAAAACTGTAATTCTGAAATTCTGTATATTTAATATACTTGCTAATTATACTAAATAACAAACCTTTAGTAACATACCAAAAGGCGGTGTCATGAAGTCCCATTATCTTTAGAAATTCCTTTAACTTTTTTTCTTTTTCTGCTACAATATGAATTGCCAAGAAGTATCCAAAAGGTGAAAATGCTATAACCAGGTATATTAAAATCACTCCTCGGGGAAAAGTATCTATTTCTACAACAGCAGTTTCTCCCATAATAACAGCTCTAGTTGACTCCAACTCCTTCCAAAGAGAAACATTCGTCTTCAACTACAATTAGAAAATATAAATACATTAAATGAGTTTAGTTCTGAGTAGTAAAAAGTAACAATTATACCCCAAATAGACCCAAAATATATAAATAAAACCCACAGAAGCTATACACTCGAAATAAAGTGAGTAACCACAATAATCCTGGTACAAAGTAGAGTACTGCTTTTAATTCATTCTGGAAGTATACATTAAGTTTGAAGTTGGTGACTGTACAAATTTTAATGAAATAATTTGTCAAAGAAAATAAAATTATCATCTTAAGCAGATAATTATATACAGCTTAACAAAAACATACATCTTTAAAATTGAAGACCTTAGGAATTACTATGACTATTTTTAAAAATTTCTCATAAACAACAAGCCTATTGCTTTAAAATCTGCCCATGAAAGCCAGGTGTGGTGGAAAATGGCTCTAATCGCAGCATTCAAGAGGCTGAGGCAAGAGGATTGCTACAAATTTCAGGCCAGCTGGGCTAACTAGTGAGTTCAAGGACAGCCTGAACTACATAAGGAGACTCTGCCTCAAAAGAAAATAATAAAACAAAATAAATCTGCACATGAACTGAGTGTGGTGGTGCATTGCCTGTCATTTCAACCCTTATGAGGCTGAGACAGCACTTAAGAGGCTGAAGCCAAAGTATAGTGAGTCTGAGACCAGATACAGTAAGATACCATCTCAAAAAACAAAAATAAATAAACTTTACACCTGTAGCACATATGGCCAGAATAATAAAATTACAATGTATGCTACTTCTAACATTCAAGTGAACTCCTAAACTGAGATTTGTCCTGCCTATTCATCCAGTGCAGCCTGGAATGTGGATGGCTAAAACCAAGTCTTTGGCCAAAACCCAAGTGGTATAAGTATAGCAGTACGATACATCTCAGTCTTAGTATCTTTACTTTAAATGTGTTACCACTGAACTGGTAGAATATTACATTTCCCTAATACATCTATACCCTGTGGTGAGAGGTGATAAGGATTCTACATACACCACCTCATTTGGTTCTTATAACCCTGTCAAGTATCTTACTCATAACATTGTGATTCCAGTTCTACCACTATTCATAAAATATACAGAGTCCACTAAAAAAATGTATACATACTTCAGGAGTTCACCATACTAAGAAATGTCTGGCAGCTAATGGCCACCACTTTAATCACCTCTTGTATTAATCTTGTAACTTGTATTAAACCCATGATGTCTCAATAAATTTAGTATTAAAATAGTCATACAAGTTTTTCTTTATTTGACTTTTACATTGTTTTGGCAGACTCTGTATTTTAATAGAGAAGATGGTTGACGTGAATTTTTGAACTTACAATATTTCATAGGATAGTTAATTTCAATTGCAAAAGCAAACAGAAAAAATATAGATCTATACGGAACGTGGAAAAATTACATGATTACCTCTAATATTTCATGTTCTAAGAGAATTTCATCCTAATGCTATCTAGCCCATTCACAAAATTTTAAGATTTTTAAAAAATAAATGAAATTTCTTGGCTATATTTGTGCAAAATGTGGAAGATTAATTAGGCTATCTAAGCATGTCTTTAGAACTTTACACATTTAGACAAAATGCACAGCACAAAGTATAGTATTAAAGCACATACATAGAGGAGTTGAAAAGCTGTAGTATGAATTGCTACTTTGCCACTAATATACTGAGTTTTGAAAAGTTATTTAATATCCCTACATTTAACAGCAGCAATCTCACAGGGTTGTTAAGTATTAAATGGGTTAATTTCAGAACATAAATTTAAAAATATTTACTAAATGCATATCAAGTAAAATATAAAATCTATTGCTGAAAAGATAATATCACTTTCTTTAAAGTAAGTTACTTATATTCAAGGGAAACATCTAAAAGTATAAATCTTCCATAAGTATTACCTATGGGCAGTAAACAAAGTAGATAGATATGTACTATGCTTGAATCCTATACTTAAACTATCAAAAGTAAGACTACAAATGTATTAAATCAAAACCAGGCATGGTAGCATATGACTGTAACCCTAACTACTTGGGAGGCTAAGGCAGGAGTTAGCAAGTTCAAGCCAAGCCTGAGCAATTTAGTGAGATCTTATTTCAAAATAAAAATATAAAGAGGGTCAAGAATGTAACTCAATACAGAAGTTCTACATTCAATCCCTTGTATTGGAAAAAATAAAACGGAAGAACATTGTTATATTAAAATATGGTCTAGTCTTCCTTCCTTATCATATTTACCTGTATAATGGCAGCGTCTATGGATGCCTGTAAAACACTGAACCCTGAGGACCAGTAATGAGCAGACTCACACGATTTTGAACAGTCAGCTATGAGGAGAAAAATGTGAGACATAAAGATTTGTACACCAAATAAGTGCTTTCTTCTAAAGATAACATGAAGGGTTACCAGAGTAAAAATCAATCAATTTCTACAGGGCCAAAGAAAATATCTTACTGCCCTTCAAAAACAAGTAAGAGCTGTAAGATTCCTAATTTTTTATTTGAAATATAGAAATAGAGTAGTTAAATGTTAGGATACTAACTGGTAAATGATCAAAAATGTAAAGAGAAAAATTAATTCTAAACATACATATTTAAAACATGTCACTTCTATTTTAAACTTTGTTTCAAAGAACCTCTAGATGCAAGGGTGAGTCCAAAGTAAAAACAAACAAACAAACAAAAAAAAAACTACACAGAAAAGTTTTCCATAAAAATTTTGGAATCCAGTCACAAATTCAATATTCAGCATAGCATAGTAACTTTAACATTGGCTCAATAAACAGTTATGGTTGAGGCCAGGGATTTAGCTCAGTGGTGCTGCTGACTGCCTCCCAAGCGCAAGGTCCCAAGTTCGATCCCCAGTACAAAAAAAAAATTTATGGTTGTTACTATCTCTTCATAGGTTTACACAAGTAAAGGTTGACTTCCATGTTTCAAACGTAAAACCATGAGACATCAAGGTTTGAAAGATTTGTACTGTAGCATAAGTGAAGACAATTACATGAAAAAAAAAAAAAACAGATTTAGGAAGTTATATAATTCAAGATACAAGTCTGCTTCATTCTACTACAATTTACATATACCTAAGTGTATTAAAGTTAAAATGGGAGTTATATAAATAACTGCCAAGACACACACATGTACAGATACATTTAGATCCTACTTCAAATTTTTCACATGAATTTGGAGAAGCCAAGATATGCATTTAACTGACTGCAATGATTACTTAGGACTATTTACCTCTTGAATCCAAATAAATAGAAGATACTGGAATCTTATCAGGAAAAAAACGGAGTTCATAGGACATTAGGTCTTTGAAAACCACACCCACAAAGTTGTTGGACTTAGAATGACTGGATTCTAGCATTTCTTTTTCACTTGTATATTCTTCTGTAATTATGACTATAAATATAACAATATAGTTAGATCACAAAACAGTTTACTATAATGCAGAACAATTTTATTTATTATATTTATTTGATCAACAAAATATTTTATAAGCACTTTTGTTTTACTATAAGCAAGAAATAAGCAAGGGCAGTCTGGCTATGGCATCTGTCACCCTGTTGTCAGGGCTGATTTGGCTGGCCAGGCGGATGTCCCCTTCCTCGTGTGTCCCTCCCAGAGCGGCATGCTCAGTGGAAGAGGACAACTATCCCTGATAGAAGATGACCGTTGCCTTGGTCAAGCGCACACAAGTAGCTGCAATCCCCTACTAGAAACCCCAAACAAGCTCTCAAGAAAATACAACTACATAGTGAATGAAATAGTTTAACTTTACAGACCCTAAGCTGTCATCCAATTACTAAATCATGTTTCAGTCTAATATGTTATGAATATAACAAAGCACAGTACAAAATAAGCAAAATCATTTCATGAAGAGATTGCTATTTCTCAGAATCGCAATGAACTGCACTAAAGTTTAACATTGAATAGTTTTAGTAACACCTTAATTCTTGAAAATCCACTGACTAGCAGGCTTACTTTTAGCCACTCCTAAATTTAAGATTTTAGGCAGTAATGAAGTTATAAAAACAATATGTAATGCAGTTCATTCATGAACTGCAAAGTGAAATTATTAACTCCTAGATAAATGGATATTTTATTATTAAATATTTGTTTTTATGAAGACGAGTCCTTAATCCTTCTCAAAAACTGTGTATTTTAATAATTATGATATAAGATTTCTTTGACTAAAAGGCCAGTTAAACCTGAAATTGTTTATTACTTTCTTAAAGGATAAATGATGAAAATATTGTAATTACCCTTTCACATTAGGTAAGATAATTTTTTTAATATTTTCTTGCAGTTTATTTATAAGCTAACTAAAAACACTCCACAATATCTGGTGAAAAAAAAAGAATGAAGAATCGGTACCTAACTTCATCATTTATTATGTGCGTGAGAACCGATAAGTGATTTAACTCTTCAAACTTTCATGTTCTCATCCACAATATCTGGCTGATCACACTGGTTTAACTGGTAAAGACCAAATAAAGCAATAAAAACACGGAAATGCTTCGTAAATTACAAAGTTTTACTTAAATGTTCATTAACATAATCTTCCATGCCTTTAAATAGACACAGAACTCCAGAATTCCTCTGAATAAACAGGTGTTAGTTCAACATCCTATCAGTCATGGTTATCATGTATGTTATCCTGTGTGTATGTATGAATGCATTCATGTAGTTCTATTGTTAAAAAGATAAAACTTTAAAATATAAATAGATGTGAATTTACTAAGTTAATGCACACTAACCTCATTTTTTGGTGTATACTCTTTTCTTCCTACTCAGAATTATTGATGAATTTCATTCTCAACATTACTGATCAATTGTTTTGAGCTTGCATACTAAATTCTTAAGGCTATCCTTGCTATTTGTACTTAATATGACAGACCAACAAACATATAACTAAGATACAAATAACTAAGATACAAGTTTGATTAAAAAATATTAAATAATGTAATGGGTAAAAAGCTGTTTGGCTCCTGACTTTGTAACTATTCAGTGATGCGCTATCTAATAATATAACGGTATATACTAGAAGCTAATTATAACTATCCTGTAGGGTATAAAACAACATGCTTACAATTTACCATTTCATTGCTTAGTCATATATGTCTATCATCTCTCCGGTTCTTATTTTTCTCACAGCCTCTTAAAACTCACTAGAATTTCACTGCTTGAACTCTTTTCTAGACCACTTCTCTGTGTGGACTATACATGACCGAAAAGTAACCTAGGTATATAGTCATAGACATGGTCTCCAAAGTTAAGTAGCTCACAGTTTATACCGTATACCTCCCTAAATAGGCGTGGCACTCTGAAACAATTACTGCTTTATAATCTTTATCATATATTTCTAGCTTCTTTATTACAAGTCCTAGTCAAAATGAAGTATGTCTCTAAAATATATTAATTAATATATTAATTAATTATTAATACTTCAAAAGTTGTACTATATACTTTATACTATACAAATTATTTTATAAATAGCCCAAGCATCAATGAAAGTATACATGTAGTGCCAGGAATGTAAAAGAGTGTTTCACAAGGAACACAGGGCAACAGAATTAAATGATTTTAATATTTTTGTAAAAGTCTATTCTGGGTGTTAAGGATGTTAATTACTCAATAAAGCAAGCCACTAAGTACTGAAGGTGCTACATATATTATAGATATAATACATATATGAGAATACAATACCATCAGAAAGGTAATCATCAGATACTCTCTGCATGATGCTGCTTGTAATATTAGTCACTGGAGTATATCCAAGAACTAAGTCAGAGAGAATAGATTTATCCATTGGAGGAAGTTCTCTATCAGGCACTTCTTCATATTTCTTATTTGGATGCATCATGCTAATTAATATTAGCCAAAATAAAAAAAATAGTGGAAAAAGAATTTCCTATAAGAAAAGAAACAAAATAATTACAAAGTATGGCACTGGCAGCAAAAAACATGATTTCTATGCAAATAATACTAAGAGAACATATGAAAAAGTTGGTTATTCTTTCTTATGTACAAAAAGTAATTCTAACCAAAAGAATTTGTTAAGCATTTCACCAAACCTAGTAGGCAATTAGATGATTTCTCCTCTGTGTTATTTTACTAAAATATTTTAAAACTTGAGTCACATAATAAAATAAAGGGACATAAAGGTAATCTTTAAATATCTTAGATCACTGACATAAAATAAATTTATTCGTATCTTATTTAAAGTAACTTACCTAACATCCCTATAAGGATCACCATAAAAATGTCTTACTTGATTCTGAATTGTAAAGTATGCCTTAAAAATACCTCAATTATACTTCTAAAGCTATATTAAAATTTTATGTTTAGCATGAATACAAACGAACTAGTATTTCATCTTGGTATTCAATTTTACACTGATTTCAGGAGAAGATAAACAATATATGTCCATCCTTTTAAAAGTATTACTGATGAGCTAGAGTTCTTTTTTGTGCAAAAAGTAATGTATGTTGGGGAACAAATCTATGACATATGGTAGTTTTAATTATTCTTGGGTCAACTCACTCTAGAGTCCATGAAACAGAAGTTCTATGTGGAAAAGTTTATGAATGCTAAGAATTTCAATCCTAAATTTCAAAATTAAGTACTGCTGTTAGAAAACTAACTGAATTTAATAATCGTCAAGTATTAACATTTAGAAACATGTAGTAATTCAGTTATTTTCCTGTGGCTAACACAACAAATACAACAAGCTTTTTCTTTACAAGAAAATTAAGGAGAACAGAGAAACTAAAATTATAACAAAAAATGCATCCAGAAAAATCACGTTTTACAAATAGAACCCATGAAAGCTAAGTAAACTACGAGACATAAAAAAGAGTACTTCAACTTACCTGAACACTGCTTTTTTTAGTCCTGCATTTAACTAGGTAATTCTTCAGTAGCAATGTTCTAGTCTGCCTCCAAACTCCCACCTCCCTAATTGCAGTGGCCATGCTTTCGTCATCAGCCTGTCAAAGAGGAAAAACCACCAAATGAAACAAACTGACCCTGAGCCACAAAGTAAAAGCATTCTTTTCAATGGAAAACTGTTTGGGTCCCAGTTAGATGAAGTTTCTTGTACTTCATGCTATCTTTTCTGCCTGGAAAGAATCCATGGAACAGCAATTTGAGGACTGAGAAGTAACTAATAAGCTGGGTGTGGCCAGTACTCTGAAAGGCTGAGGCAAGAGGTGAGTGAAACCAGTCTGGGCAATTTAGTGACTTAGCAAGAACTTGTTTCAAAATAAAAAATGACCGAGGGTGTAGCTCAGTGTGAAGGCCCTAGATTCAGTTCAATCCCCAGTGTCACAAAATAAAGAAATAAGTAATGTTTTTTAAAAGTAAATGGCTGAAGCTAAGGGAGTGAAGAACACCAGAAATCCAGATCTTCAAAGTCAGCAGGGACCTCACCACTTTTGCTTACTACTTTTTTCCTTTGGTATTCCTCAAACAATACAGGACAACTGGGGACAAGGCCAGAGAGAGAGGGAGCCCCAGAAGATAACGCTCTGGTTTTGGAAGGAGGAATGGGAAAAGTTAGTCTCTGCATGCTACACTGAAAGGGCAGCTTGGGAAAAAGGTCCTGTTAAACCTTCCAGAGCATTAGCGCTGCCTGGTATCCTATGATATGCTGATACGACTCCACCAAAATGAAGACTATGTGCTCTAAGCTCCATATGTCCACCCAGACAGAAAAGCAAACAACTTTTTAGAGGCAGTTTTTCATCTCCGGGAAAAAAGCAAACAAAAAAATTAGAAGAAGAAAGAGGAGGGGAGTGACTCACATGAAAATCCTTTTATATGCACAGAAGAAAAATTAGATTAAAAAATCTGGTGGTACTGGGGACTGAACCCAGGACCTTTACAACTGAGTGACATTTCCAGCCATTTTTTATTTTGAGACAGTCTTGTTGAATTTATACATTGCCCAGATTAGGATCAAACTTGGGATTTTCCTGCCTCAGCCTCCCAGAATGCTATTACACGTCTTCACGACCAGGCCGAGTTTAGGAAAAAAAAAAAATTTTTTTTTCAATTAATAATGGGATCATGGAAAACTTTTACTTTCTTTTTATTTATTTTTTTCTATGTTCTCATTAATACATATTACTTGCGTAGTAAAAAATTGAAAACAATTAGACATATTTAAAAAATGTTAAATAGAAATGAAAAACAACAAAACAAAAGCACTCAGAGTGGAATGATAATCACCTCTAGGCAAAAAAAAAAAACAAAAAAACTCAAACTCATTCAAGCATGATTTTCTACAAAACAAACAATGAAACACTAACCAACGGTAGCATGAACAGTCTCAAGTTGTCTGCCAAAACACGTTGATTTAGTAGATACACTAAATTATTAATTCAAATGGAACGCTGAATGCTTGGCTTTTCTTTTCAGACACAGAGCTCTTATGCAGGGAGTAGCTCATGCATTTACAACACTCTTACTTCCTTGAGAACAGCTCCCTGAACTCAAAGCTCAGTTTCCAACAGAGCCTTGTCTTAAGTGTAAGAAGCTGCCCACCCTCATGCACACACTCAATCAGAGATTTTAAAAACAAAACTAAAGCCCCTCTTTATGTACTACCCCAACATGCATACAAAAGGTCACCACTATGACCACCACCACAACTCCAGAATAATTTTGGATAAATTCTCTCCTGGAACTATGCAGTTTTTAACTAAGAGACCCAAAGACTGCAAGTATCGAAACTGCGTTACACCAAAGACAACATTTAAGAATTTTATTGTGTAGATTAAACTTATTTTTAACATGTACAGACCTAATTTTTTAAAATGTTCACGTTAGAAATTAAGATTATATCCTGTGAAACAATGAAACTGAGTCATTCCAATATTCACAACCATTCTGGTCAAAGATGTATCGGTCTCCATCTTAGCATCCTTGAGTCTCAAAATACTCTTAGCTGAAAATAAGTCTCCTACCTCCAAAAGATGACTAAGATCACTTCTGATCCACATAGGCAGAGGTGATTATTACCACCCCTTTGCTCTGGCTGTACACACATAGCTCACACCATTGTTTTGTATGTTATGGTACTGAACCTGTGCTGAGATGCTTAGTGAAGACTCTCCTGTTTATGTTTGCTTCTACCACCAACAGCAATGTTATCTTACTGCCAATTCCTTTATCAAGGCTTCCTGAGAGGCCTTACAGACCTAGGGCTTGCAAACTAAGAAAAGGAGTTGGAAGCTAAACCTAGTACACAATCCTTTTGCACAATCCATGAATTAACAATGTTTCTACATTCTTAAACATTTGGAAAAAACTAAGAATAACAATACCTTGGGACAGGTATAAATTACATGAAGTTCAAATTTAAATGTAGATAAATAATTCTTGGAATCCAGCCATGTTTATTCATGAAGTATTGTCTGTCTGCTGTGCTACAGAGTTAAGTTACATAGACAGACACCACACAGTCTGCAAAATCTAAAACACTACTATCTCACTGAAGGATTTTGGCACCAAACATTAGAGGGCAAAATAATAATAATAATAATAATAATGTGTGACACTGTCACTGACTTCAGAGAGAAAAACTGAAAAATATTTTAATGGAGGTTGAGGGAAGAGTTTGCAGAAGACTAAAACTGAATTTCTATGCAAAGAGAAAAGCATGAGAAAGCTAGATGCTCCAAAGGGCCTGACTTATGTAAAGAAAGACAACAGTATCTGCAATATGGCAGAAGGGTAACAACGTAAAAGGAAACTACGAAGGATACTGGTATGTGCCCTAGATGACACTATAAAGACAGATGCTGGACATGAATTATGAAGTACTCGGTACAGGAAATTAACACCCCATCTTTTCGTGTAAACCCACAAAAAACACTCTCTGTTTCCTCTGCTGCTCTTTTGCACCTCAGGGTGTTTAACTTATTGGCAATTACATTTCACAAGTCCACTCACTGGCACATCCCGAGCCTCCTGTCTGTTTAAAGCATCACTCTCACAATGTGTGACCTTGATTCCCAGCTCATTGAAAAATAGAAAGTCAAGAGAAATTTCAGAAATCTCTCACTATTTTTTCTGCCTATACACATCAGTGCCCAAAGTAATGTACATTTCAATAATTCAACATTGATGCCTTACTCAAGACCATTTTCACTAGAACTCTAAACCCCCAAAGCTCCAAATCAATCCAGTATTAGCTGTACTTTTTAATTAAGACTTTTTTCTTTTTTTAAGGAGAGGTTAAAAACCTACCTGGCACAGGACTTGAAAGAAATTCATACCCAGCTACATCACTGGCTTCTCAATTTATAAAATGGGACAAAATATTACAGAAGACAAAATATAAATGATTTCTTCTCTAATGTTTTAAAAAGTATTGAGTATAACACAAGTATTGAATAATAACACAAGGTACTGTATAACACCTTGTGTTACATACTATATAACCTAAATTTTATAAGTGTTTCTTGCTGAAAATAATGCAGTAGCACTCATACGGCAAGCTATCCGGTAACTTTAATACAAAATAGGTTCCTTAAAGCTTACGCTTAAAATTATTTTTAATCCTATTAATTCACATACTAGTAAAGATTATGCTATATAGTAAAACATGAAATTCTTCTATATAATATCTCCAGCTCAAGAATAGAGATTAAAAATTGTATTTCTTTTGGTACTCCTGGCGCAAAGAATAATAATCTGGAATACATAGACACATAACAAATATGTAATATATTAATAAACTTGGTCTTACTCTAAATGTAAGATTGCCAATAATAAACCCCGTTTGAAGTTTTACACATTCAACAGCTTATACACTTTTAAAGATTAATGTCTCTTTAGTGTGATTTTAACGCAAATATCCCCCAAACCATAACTGACCTACTGATGTTCTCTCCTATGGAGTCTTTCCTAAGCAACACTCCCAGATATTACTCTGTGGACAAATATGAAATATAGTGGATAAAGCACCACAATTAAAGAGTCAAGCACACCTAAGCTAGAATTTCAGGTCTATCTTTTTACTAGCTGAGGCCTTAATTCATTACTTAACCTCTCTGAAACCCACTTCTCATATCTGCCCACTTAGAAAAACACCTCCGATCTCAGAGTTGCTGCCAGGATTAAATGAGATAATACTGAGCCTGGGGTATAGCTAGAGTGCAACAAATACTCCTTTTTTTCTACTCTTAAAACGCCCTCAACAAAAAATAAATATGGCTGGGAGGGGGCGCCTGCCCTGATCCATTTATTTTTAAATCGTAAATCCAAGACAAGGGGCCCAAGTACTGAGCGCCTCAAACCCAGGTCAATGCCTGCAGCCTACCCCGTTTTCGCATCCGCAGCTTCTTTGTGCTTTAGGAACCTGGATATTGGCCCCCGAGCCGTGTCATGAGGTCGGCGCACTGGCTTCTCTCCCCGGGTTTTAACACACAGGACCCCCCAGCACACACGCACACACACCGGGCTGCGATTATCCTGCCCTTCCCAAGAGACGTCCTTCGCCCCTCCAGAGGATGCTCTGGCCGGGAGCCGCCGCGTCCACCACCTGCAGCACCGCGGACCCC